AAAGAAAGAAAGAAAGAAAGAAAGAAAGAAAGAAAGAAAGAAAGAAAGAAAAAAGAAGGTTGGGCATGGGCACAGCAGCTCACACCTATAATCCCAAGGCGGGTGAATCACCTGTCAGGAGTTCGAGACCAGCCTGGCCAACATGGTGAAATACTATCTCTACTAAAAACACAAAAATTAGCCAGGTATAGTAGTGGATACCTGTAATCCCAGCTACTCAAGAGGCTGAGGCAGGAGAATTGCTTGAACCCAGGAGGCAGAGGTTGCAGTGAGCTAGGATTGAACCATTGCACTCCAGCCTGGGCAATAAGAGCAAAACTCTGTCTATTAAAAAATAAAATAAAATTTAAAAAAAGGTTAGTTTTTAAGCAAACAAGAATTTTAAAGATAAATAAGGACTAGGCCAGGCGCGGTGGCTCAAGCCTGTAATCCCAGCACTTTGGGAGGCCGAGGCGGGTGGATCACGAGGTCAAGAGATCGAGACCATCCTGGTCAACGTGGTGAAACCCCGTCTCTACTAAAAATACAAAAAATCAGCTGGGCATGGTGGCGCGTGCCTGTAGTCCCAGTTACTCGGGAGGCTGAGGCAGGAGAATTGCTTGAACCCAGGAGGCGGAGGTTGCGGTGAGCCGAGATCGCGCCATTGCACTCCAGCCTGGGTAACAAGAGCAAAACTGCGTCTCAAATAAAAATAAAAATAAAAATAAGATAAATAAGGACTTTAGTGACATAGATCGCTTGTAGTTTGACTTTTCTTATGCGGTTGTTTCCTGATTTCCAGGCAACAGGGAAAAGCATGCCCTACATCATCTTTCAAGGTCTGTACTGCGGTTTTTAAAGTTAAGTAGATAAAAGATTTATTGTGTAAAAAATAAAAAATAAAAACTCTACCTCAGTATGGTCTTATACAAGAAGTCCAGCTTTCAACAAAAAATTATAAGGCAGACAAAAAAGCGAGAGGACGCAGGTCCAGTCAATAGAAACGTGACACAGTAGCACAAGTCAGACCTTGTTTCTTCAGCATCTGATAGGCGTCTCGGATCTTGACGTCTTCAGGAAACCATACTGTCCAACTAAAGAGTATTTCAATGACTCTTCCTTTAACTTTTTCTGTGGCCCAGGACCCCAGGTACTGAAATAAAAAGGAAAGAGAATTCTAAAGCTGGAAGGGACTTGGGAGACCAACAATTTAACTAAAGAGGGAGCTGTTTAGGCCCAGAGAAACAAGCTCCCAGGTATGGTATGAGTGTGAGGAGGGACTGAGGCCACACTATCTGGTGCCCAGCCCCGCAGCCCTTCCTGGGATTCAATTGATCTCCACAATATTCACACTAAACCCCACCATGAAGGGGTCTCGGTCAGAGCCTGTTCTACACCACTGGGGACAGTCATTTTTTGCCTGGGACAAGAATTCTAAAATTTGGTCTTTGTTTCCGTTCCTGGCACAGAACTTCAAAAATCCTTGGAATTTCCTGAGACACAGGAGTGTCTTGTTATTCAAGAGACACAATCTCAGGGAGCACCTGAGTTTTCACTAATGATTTACAGTGAGTGCTTAGAGAGTTTCAAGGGCTGGCCACTCCAGAGAGGTCAACCCTGTGATCAGAGCAGAAACTTTCAGCCCCATCCCCTGACCCGTGCTCCCATATCCCTACCCATGGAGTGTAAAAAACAACAATCAATTCCAAATCTTAAAAAAAAAAAAAAAAAAAAAACCAACAACAACAAAAAACTCAGATGAAAACACTGCAACAAGGAAGCTCAGAGAGCCTCTCGGTTGAACATATGTTGGGAGAACCGCAAGCTCAGAGTCCAGGAGTGGGCACAGCAGCTCTGTACCCTCTTGCCCCACCAAGACCTTGCCTATGTATTGCTTCCAGTCATACCCTTTATGCTAAAACAGTGATAAAAGTACAGGGCTTTCCTGTGTACATGAATCATTCTAGGAAATTATGGAACCTGGGGCAGTGGGGAGGGGGAGGTCACAGGAACCTCTCAATCTGCAGCTGGGGATGCAGAAATGCAGCAGCTTAAAGACACATGACATTCATGGCTGGCAGCTGAAACAGGGGTAGTCTAAGTAGCACTGAGCCCCCACCATGTGGGGTCCGGGTGGCAGAACTAAAATGAACTGTAGGACCCACAGTCAGTGTCAGCACTGTTGTGGGAACACAGCAAGGCAGGGTTCAATGCTGGTTACCTAACAGTGGCCAAGCTAAGACAGGTGCCAGGAAGACAGGTATGGAGGACAAGGCAGGAGGTGACAGGAAACTTCAGGTCACCCCTGGGATCTCTCACTGTCTCTATCAGGGCCCTGTGCCTCCAAGCTGGAGTTCCTCATCTCCTCGAGGCCACATGTCTCGCGGGCCTTCTGAAAGGGGAAATGTGAAAATGCTAATAGCAAGGGGCAGCTGATGAGCACAGCCTCTTACCAGAGCTTGGAGAGGGGTGTGCTTTCACAGGCAGGAGGGGGTTTTGTCCATGAATGGGCCTGCCTCTGGCCTGAGGAGGGCGCCAGGAGTTTGACGGTGGGCATAGGTGTGGCACAGTGCGCAGAGCCAAGTCCAGGTACTCACCTTTGGGGACAACACTTTGATGAGCTCGTTCAGGAAACGGAATTTGGCCACCTCGCCGTGAAACTTCTCCCCACAGTGGTTCATACACATCTCCAGCACCTGCAGACACAGAACCCCCATGAGAAGGTGGAAGGCCAGTGGTCCCAGGCTTCCCTCCTGGCTGGTAACCACTTGCTGGTGACTGAGCTGGAACCATAGCTAACCCTGCCTCAAACCTATGAGGACACTGAGTTTTCATGAAGAGGACGTTTTCAGGTCAAGAAAAAAATGTCCTCTGTTCAATCTTGCTCTAACTGCCTGGGGTTTATGTCCAGGAAATAGCTTAGTGGGTATGTCAAACCCTGAGGTCACCCCACCTTTCAAGGAGACTGTTGGGGAGATGAAAGTGGCCCAAGAACCAACTCCTTCCTGGAGGCTGAAATCACGTATGCAGTGTCCAAGACCAGCCAGATGTCACCCACTGGTACTCAAGAGGCAAGCTGGTCCTGCAGACCCCTCCTCTGGTCCATACTGAGGCTTTCAACACCACAAATTAGTCACCAGCATCTAAACATCAAATATATACAAAGACCTAAACTAGCAATCCTGGGCCCACATTTACACCTGCCAAGGGCCAGCGGGCCCTGTGCTAGAGCTACCCTCTTCAGACAGGGTACATGAACTTGCCAGTCCTGGTTTAAATGGGCAGATGAAAGTAAAACCTTCCTTTCCTTCTCCCACAGTAGACTCAATGCTGCCCACAAGAAACAGATGAGAAAGAGGAGAAAGAAGGATGGGGACCCTTGGCCAGAACTCCCTCCTCCAACCTTCTGTGATGGTGAACCTTTCAGGGGACCTCCCTGCCCCAGTGAAAAGGACCTGGGTGGAAGCAAAGTGCCTCTCAGCTCTCTCCAGCACCAGGACAGGAAAGCTTAGGCTACAAGGCAAGCCATACTCACCGTTAAGGCATAAAGAGCTTCCTTCTCTTGCGGAGACTGGATCTTGTGGGCCAGTAGCCAGGGCGCGTGCGTGGGGCTACAGGGAAACAAAAAGACCTAGACTCTGGGCAGGCAAGAAACTAACCCAAGTGGCTGAGCATGCTCAGTAAAGCCACTTTTCTTCCAGGGGCTGGTGTCCCAAAGCAGAGGTGGAGTGTGCCTGATACAAAGCCCACGAGGAGGCCCCAGAGGGGGCCACCTCCCACCCACTCTGGTTAAACCTAAAGCACCCAAAGTCCTCCTCCTGCCCAGGGCACACTGCCTTCCCGTCAGCCAACCCCCAGACCCTAAATTCCAAGCTGCCAGTCCCAGCCTAGGTCCACACAGAGCCAGAGCAGCACAGGCCCTGTTTGTCTGTGATAAATGCCCAGGGAATGCTAGAGCAGAAAGTGTGATCAAACTTGGCTCAAACTGGCCAAATATGCGGCACCACACAGATTAAATATCTTGATGGGCTGGGCACGGTGGGTCACACCTGTAATCCCAGCACTGTGGGAGGCCAAGGCAGGTGGATCACCTGTGGTCAGGAGTTCGAGACCAGCCTGGCCAACAGGGTAAAATCCCATCTCTACTAAAAACTACAAAAATTAGCTGGGTGCGGTGGTACGTGCCTGCAATCCCAGCTACTCAGGAGGCTGAGGCAGGAGAATCACTTGAACCCGGGAGGTGGAAACTGCAGTGAGCCGAGATGGCACCAATCACTCTAGTCTGGGTGACAAAGCGAGACTCTGTCT